ATAATCATTGAATACAAGTCAGATAATCGTTGAAAACAAGTCAGATAGTCGTTGAAAACAAGTCATATAATCGTTGGAAACAACTCACATAATCGTTGAATACAAGTTAGATAATCATTGAAAACAAGTCAGATAATCGTTGGAAACAATTCAGAGTTTCTACACATTACACATTGCTTGTTCAAACTACAGAGAGGAAGCTATACTGAGGGAATCTTATTTTATGAGGGTTTAACCTTAATTCTTGAATTTCTAGTTTCAGCTGGTTACAGCTTAAACTTTCCATTACTATATCTCGGTAGCGAGTATTTTGCGAGTTGTGGAGTCGCAAATCGCATCTCCTCCATTCGCAATCTTCTCGCTTTCCTATAGTTGTGACAATTTTCCCTAGAAGAAAAGCCTTTTTCTAAAGAGACAATTAGTTCTTTCATTTTAACAACTTATTTTAACAACTTATTTCATTTTTAACAACTTTTAGGACTGGATATTTATTTTCATAAATACAACTACCATGATTCCCTGCAGGTGCGGATAGAGGGAACTGGGCGTTTGCTTAAAACGATAAATGAGGAATTACTCAGAGGCGGATCTAGGGGAGGGCCCCCATTATTTTGGGTAAAAACAAAAAGAAATCACAGAAGGAAGAAAAGCCGGCAGGGCAAGCAAAACAACGCCCCCTCCCCCCCTCTCCCTTAGCTCAAGGTCTGGATCCGCCATGTTACTGACTGGTGGAGAACTCTAAATTAGGTGCAAAAACGCTTTTAACTCATAAAACAGGTCACATTTCCAGGATTTAGACGTGAATACGTCAAACTGTTATTAAACAACAATGTATTCAATGTTGATTATGCAAATAATGGTCCATATGGTACATATCACACATGGTAAATAAATACTTATCGCAGGGCCCTTCGATAGGAATATATCATGTATATGCATTTGGAAAAAGACTACAGTCGATGAGTACCTTGTAACTGAATACTTCGTTTACTGCAATATCATTGCCGTTTTGTTATCGATTTGTGCATATATCGACCAAATGGTAAGTACATTGGGTTGTTTTTTAATCTTCATAATGTGTAAAAAATACATTCCGTGTAGTCTGAAATCAACTCGATTTGGCTTGATTTTAATTCTAAAACAAAAGGTAAACGAGCAGGCGGTGCTAAAGTGATCCGCAGTGAGACACGACCAGTTATTACATTTTACCTCTTTCCACTCAAAATCATTGCTAATCAAGATGAAAGTATAATAAACTGTGGGTTAAAATATTTCATCTTTTGCTCATCTCTTTTTAAGAAAGTAAACAGTTACTTGCTTTTTAGTAAAATACGAGAACGTAAGTAGTCAAAACTTAGGCCCGTATCGTTCACGACCGCCTTATCTCCGTTAACCGTCAAGTAAACTAGAAATTATTGCTCATAAATCATATTTAGGTTTAGATTCGTATTTCTAACCTATGACCGTAAATAATAACTGGAATTATAAAAGAAATATGGATGTATCTTTTGGATATATATTTTGATTAATATATTCAGTGCATACACTTTTATGTTTTAATTTATGCCTAGCGTGTTGTTTTCCTGTCGAATTAAACGGATCTTGAAACATAACCAATTACGAATTTGAAATTTCACTTAAGTTATTGAGAAAATGGCTTCAACTTTAATCATTTCTCAGTAATTGATAGCTTTTCGTTTGTTCAAGACTTCATATTCATAACATCGAACGCAGATTAAGGAAAGGTTTGTTCTCATCAATTTTACGA